CCACATACTCTGTGAGCAGATCTAAACCAGCCCCAATTAATACCTCAAAGGACAGGACCCCTGACCCACTATTATCATATCTGATTCTTGATTAGGGTCCACTAGGTCAATGAAAGCACCTGAAATATCACCACACAGAGAAGGGTGAGCACAGAGATAAGAAAAACAAAATCAAAAGCACACACACTCAGATTAGTCTGTAAATCAACTCTTCAGAACACTAAGAAATAGAATGCTACGAAAGATAGCCAACAAAACCAACAATTAGAAATACAAATTCATTCCAGATGAAGTTTAACTTTACAGAAGTTTGACAAATACTTATTTTTTTAAGTATATTTAGGGTGCTAGGATGTCAAGTTTTTTAAGTATTGGGAATGCAAAACTATACAGCCACTTTGGAAGACAGCCGCTTTTTACAAAGCTAAACATTCCCTAGCCATACGATCCAGCAATCATGCTCCTAGGTATTTACCCGAAATTGCTGAAAACTTACGCCCACGCAAAAACATGCACGTGAATATTTATAGAAGCTTTATCCATAATTACCAAAAACTGGAAATAACCAAGATGTCCTTCAACAGGTGAATGGATAAACAAACTGTGAGACACAGAGGAACCTTAAGTACATAACACTAAGCAAAAAAGACCAACCTGAAAGATTGATCTGATCAATCTGATCAACCTGAAAGAGTCTGATCCCAACTATATGACATTCTGGAAAAGGCAAAACGATAGACACAGTAAAATGATCAGTGGTTATCAGGGGCTCAGGAGGAGGAAGGGAAGAATGAATAGGTGAAATACAGAGGATTTTTAGAGCAATGAAATTATTCTGTGTGATACTGCAATGACGTTATATAATGACATGATGCATGACATTACACATTTGTCAAAATCCACAGAACTGTGTGACACAGAGTGAAGCCTAATATAAACTATGAACTTAAGTTAATAATAATGTATCAATACTGATTCATCAGTTGTAACAAATGTACCGCACTAATGCAAGATGTTAGTAAAGGGAAACACTCATGAGGAAGACTGGGTATATAGGAACTCTACACTATCCACCCATTTGGGTCATATTCAATTACGTATATCACTTTTTAAATTATCATGGACAGTTCCACTTCTGGGTATGTACACAAAAGAATCAAAAGCAGGGACTTGAACAGGTATTTGCATGCCCATGTTCACAGCAACATTACTCACAATAGCCAAAACAACCCAAGTGTCCATTGATGGATGAATGGATAAACAAATGTGATATACACATACAATGGAACAGTATTCAGCTTTAAAAGAGAAGAAAATCCTGACACACACGACAATACAGATGAACTCTGACAATAGTATGCTAGGTGAAATAAACCAGGCACAAAAGGATAAATATTGTGTGATTCCACTTATATGAGGTACCAGCGTAGTCAAATTCATAGAGAGAGAAAGTAGAATGAATGGAGGCTACCAGGGGCTGGAGGGAGGAGAGGATTGGGAGTTAGTGTTTAATGGAGACAAAGTTTCAGTTGGGGGAGATGAAAAACTTCTGAAATGGACGGTGGTGATAGTTGCACAACAATGTGAATGTATTTCATGCCACAAAACTCTACTCTTAAAAATGGTTAAAATGGTAAAATCTATGTTATGTATATTTTACAACAATAAAAAATGATGACAGTGCTGAAAAACTGATTATCCAAATTGGAAAAAAAATTAATTCTCTTCATTACAACATATAGAAATTCCACACAAAAAGCAAAATTTTGTTTAATTTTAGAAGAAAATACAGAAATATATAATTCATACTTTGAGATAGAGAAAATTTACTTAACCAGACACACACACACACACACACACACACACACACACACACACACACACACACAGAGTGTTTTTTTTTATTTAAGGGAATTTTTTTCATAACTATAACATTAAAACTTATAACTTGTATACAACCAAAGACACTGTTAACAAAGGAAAAAGGCAAGCACAAGCTGGCTGGATGCATTTATAACACATATGTACATCAAACAATTAGTATCCAGAGTAACCTAACTGTCCCTCGCGGGTGAAGGATACATGAACAGTCATTTCAGTCTACAGCTGAACACTACTCAGCAGTTAAAAAGAAATGAACCAGATCCACAAGTAGTAACATGGCTAAATCTCCATCAATTAAAATTTTAAATGTACAGCTCTGTGACCCAGTGAGTCTACTTTTCATTCGCTGCAGCAGTGTCTGAAACTACAGTACAATAATACTACGTAAGAGACAATAATACTACAAGTGAAGAAGAATCAGGTAGATCCCTATGTATTAACATGGAAAGATCTCAGACATTCTGTTAGAAAACAAGTTGCAGAACAATGTATAGTAGTATCGTGTCATTAATATGGGGGGGAGATTCTTTATTACCTATATATTGATGAAAATGCAGAGATAGGTCAGAAAGGATCACAACACACTGACAACTGCAGTTTTGGTGGAGAAGGGAGTGGGCCAGGGGCTTTTATTCTCTCTGTGCGGTTTGAGGATTTTATAAGAGTATGCATTCATGAGCCATTTGCAGAGCTGCAGTGGCCCAGCCACACTGACTGCACAACACAACTCCAGGGACTCGGCTGTGAATGGCAACCCCTAAGGCCGGGCAACACACATCCTGCACAACCAGACGCCACAGCCCTGAGGTTTGTGTAATTAGAATAACACCAGCATTGGGGAACTTTCTGAGGTGATGTAAATTTCTACATCCTGACTGGGATAGGGGTTACAAGGCATACATGTTTTCAAAACTCATCGGAATGTACACGAACATCTATGCATTTAAACTATACATTAATAAAGTTGATTTTAAAATAAATTAAATACATAAATAAAATACAATAGCATTGGGAAAACTTGGAGCAAGGCACCCAAAATTACAGAACCCCAAACCAAGAACGGGTATACGCCTGCTGGTTGCACTCTGAAGCACAGTCATAAAACTAAAGAGAAATTAACTTCATTCATCAAGGCTTACTATACAATACCAAATTTGGATTAATATTACTCTTATTTTCTATGTGAGGAAAAAAAGTCCTGAGAGATTTCTAGTAAAGACATAAAATAAAGGGTAACTTGGCATTCTGTTGGCTCTAAGTCTAATTTTCTAAGTAGAAATTTTGTCTCTCACCCACAGTGGACGCTCAAAACCTTGCCAGCGCTGCTTTGACTACATAACCCCCTTCAAAGGTAATTCCATTTATGTATGATAAAAATTCTCATAGAACTCATAAAAGGTCAAGTTTTAATTTGGCAGACAAAGTAACCTAACAGGCACTGCAACCCAGGGAACTGAAACAGCAGCCTGGAGCTAGAGTCCAGAAATCCAACCAAGGCAGAGAACAGGCAAAATTCCAGCCTTTACAAAAGAGCGGAGATAGATTCTTACTACAGACCTGAGCTCCAAGAAACAGGATAAAAGAAACAAAAAAATGTTCTCTAGAAAAAGTACTCTTCTTCTTTCTCAAGTGATAGAAAAGAGAAGGGCCAGATGGGATGATTTGAAACAATGTCCCAACAAGCAATAAAGATGCAAAAGAGAAGAGCCAGAATGGAATGATTTGAAACAATGTCCCAATATGCAATAAAGGTGCAAAAGAGAAGAGCCAGAATGGGATGATTTGCAACAATGCCCCAACATGCAATAAAGGTATGAAAGTGGGAGCAGGACCACTTAAATGTCCATACCGAAGAACCTGGGTTACCTTACATGAGAGAGAGAGAGAGAGAGAGAGAGAGAGAGAGAGAGAGAGAGAGAGAGAGAGAACGAACACTTTAGCAACAAAGGAAGTCCATCAGCCACCCCTAACGCCAGAGTCGTTAATATTGCTCCAATGTGAAATACCTCAAAACCTTGCTTGATTCATTCATTCATGCAATAAATATTTCCTGCTTGACTGTTAAGGGCCAGGGCACTGTTCTTGTCACTGAGGATTTAGCAGTGAACAGTCATGGAGTCTAATTCTATTTGGGAAGGAAGGGAACTTCTTTTCTCTTTTCAAATTTCTTTTCCCTTTTTCTTCCTTTAAATGTTACGCCGAAGAGCCTTCAAAACTCTCCTAAGTTTCTCCCACAAGCTTCTTTGACCTTCCTGCTTTATCTCCAAACCAAGCAATTTATGGCTCCAAATTCCCAATACTGGGAAATGAAAAAGACCTAAAGTGAATAAGGTATGAGGCAAAATTCAGTGCTGCTTTGTTTTACATGCGTAGCCTCACAATCAAATTGTCAATACCTAAACAGCAAATTATGGCTGTGTTTTATACTATTTTGAGGCCCCAGTGCTGACCACGGTTCTCTACCCAGGTAGCTAATCAATAAACGTTTGCTAAGAACGCTGGAAGGGCTTCCTAATCCCAAGGCCTGGCACAGGAATTGAACGGCAAGCATTCGTTAGCTGCATCCTCCCTCCTCTAAGCACACTTTCTTTCAAGGGTGACCCAGTGCACAGGTTCACTGTTAGGGGCCTCGGGAAATAGTATTTTGGGGTGATCTGAAATAAAGTCCCTTCCCTCTGCCAGGGCCTGCCTGCCTCACCTGCCCTCTGCCAGGACCTGCCTTCTTTGCCCCCTTCAGCACCTAACGCAGAGCCTCCTCCCAGCGAACCGAGCACCAGCAGCATCAGCCCGGCGCCCGCACCCCAGCTCCGCGCCCGGCAACCACGGCGCCCTCGGCACCCCGGGGACCCCTCCCCTGCCCGGGGCTCAGACCCCGGCGGTGCTGGCCCTGAACTCCGCTCCATCCCCTCAGCTCGTCCCTCCAGGGCCGGGCGCGCGGCACAGCGGCCCCGGCTCCCCGCGCGCCGTCCCCGCCGCTCCCGGCCCTGCACCCCTGCAGGCTCCCGAAGTCCGGGCGCTGCGCCGTCTCCTTCCCGCTCCTCGCGGCCGGGAGGCTCCAGCACCGCGCACCTCTCCCGCAGCCTGCGGCCGCCGCCGCGCCCCCCCACCTTACTCACTTCCCGGCCGGAGCGGGGGGCGCCGAGAAGGTCTACGGCGATCGCAGCCTCCTCCGGCCAGGCGCCCGCGGCTGAGGCGGCAGCAGCGCCCGCTCAGGCCCTGGAGCCGCCCCCGCGGCGAACGTTCTCAGCGACCGGCTCGCGCCGCTTCCCCGCCCGGCACGCGCAGCGAGCCCGCCCCCGGCACGAGGGCGCGAGGGCGCGAGGGCTCAGGGCTGCGGGCGGGCACGCGCCACGGGCGTGAGCGCGCGGCTGGGGGCGGGGCTCCGCCGCGCAGGGGAGGGGGCGGGCAAGCGGGCCGAGTTCGCTTCGAGCCCCGCCCCCTGCGGCCTGGAGGGACCCGCCCCCCAGCTCGCCGGCCGCCTTCCCAGAGGGCGGGGGGAACCTTGCACCCTGTGGTCGTGTCCCGCACGGCGAAGGCAGGCGGCGGAGGTGCGTTTCAACTCCGCAGGTATTAGCTAGGCCAGCTGGATGCCCCGCCCGACATGACTACTAGGTAAAGAATGCAAAGAACCACCCCATGAATCATTCATCCGCGCTTCCACCACAAAATCCTGCCATGAGTGGTTTTTCCAAATTAATTCAACGCAGCAAGCGTTTACTGAGCACTGACTCCGCGCCTAGCGCTGTACCAGGTGCTGTGTCGGTACACCGTCACGGTCATGGTCCCTGGTCTCGAGGAGCGCATAACTTAGTGGAAAAGCAGCCGTGTAAACAACCCCGTCTGGTGACCCGTGCAAAGCCAAGCCACAGTGAGATGCTGTGGAAGGCAGAGGAGGAAGAGATTACTTCCGCTTGGACCATGCGGAGAGGTTCCTGGAAGAGGCGGCTTGTGTGTTTAGCCTTGAAGGAAGAAAAAGCAAGAAGTCTTAGGAGAAAAGGGGGAGGGCATCAAAAGTTAGGAAAACAGCTTGGACAAAGGAACAGAGGGTGATCAAGGTTTACTATCTCACCATGAGCTTTTTCATTTTAGTATTATCCATATTGGATAGACTCCTTTCCAAGCCGTGTGAAACATAGGAAATGATTCCAAATTAGGGACAGCTAAGCTTTTTTTAATGGCTCAAAGAATCGTTTTTCTCAGCATTATTTAAGGCTCAAAACAGCAGTGTCCTGTCAGGATTGTTGGTATGAGTGAAGGATGTGAAATCCCTAAGCGAAGAGCCCCAAAGGCAGTATGCTTGCAGTCTGGTTTTTCACTGCTTTTTGGCACCTTATGCTAAGGCAGCTCGTGTCACCTCCTGCTGCTGTCTGCCTGCCTGCATGTCTGCCTTTAGAACATCCTCTTCCTCCTCCTCCCATCTTCCTATTTTTGAACTCCTACGGTGAAGGAAATGCTGGTAACCAGCTTTGTTAGGTAAGAGTGAACAAATTCCTCAGAAAAAGACATCACTTTTCACACATGAACTTCATGATTATTTTGTGTGCTTAGAAGACTTTTTCACTTGTGTGTAGGTTTTTGACTATGTTCTAAATATGTTAAGATACTCAGAATACACGTAAGAGACATCTTGTTCATTCATTTACCACTTTTTGAGCACCAACTGTGGAGGAGGCATTGAAAGGGTAAAACGTTAATCCTGTCCTTTGGAGAAAGGATGTGTAAATAATGTAAATAACCATGTAAATAACTGCTTGCTTATTTGCCCTATTGACTGAAACCAAGGTAATTTCAATATGTAGGCGAGACTGTTAATAAACCATTCTGGGAACTAAACACTTGAAGTACTCACATTAGCATCTCTCCATGCAGGTTCTGTATTTCATCACCTCCCAGTCCTCAGTAAACTTCTTTCAATAATTCTCCCCCTCTTGCTCCCAAAATCATCAACTCCTCTTACCTACTTAACCTTTTCCTTCACCATCTAGTGATGTTCAAGCTTTTCCTGTCCTAAAGAAAAAGGAAAGAAATCCCTCTGTCATTCCAGACTGGTCTCTAGTTACTGCTCCCTCTGTAAATTCCTTCACAAACACCTTTCAAGTATTAGCTCATCTCTGACAACTCAACAGCTTCTCATTCCTCACCCCATGGCTGCATGGCTTCTGTCCCTACCACAACACTGCACTTCTCTCAGTCATGGAGGGCTGTTTAATCCTAAATGCCATGGGCCATTTTTGAGTCCTCCTATTACTAAAACTCTCCATGGTATTTGACAACACAGAGCACTCCACTCTTTTGGAAACTCCCTTCACCTTCACTACATAACCTCATCTCCAGCCCTTCTGACTACTCCTCAGTCTCCAGGATTCTGTCCTCCGCTTTCATCTCACCCCACACATTCTCCAGAGGCGAATTCACTCCCTGTCTTCATCTGCCACATATCTCAACAACTCCCAAATGCATTATCGAGCTCAGACCACTCATTTGAGTTCCATACACACAAAAGCCTACCAGACTTCTCCACCTGGGGGTCCTAGAGATACCTCAGACTCTGCATGTCTAAAACCGTTTAGCATTATTGTCCACTCACATGCCCAGTTTAGAAACTGGGGGTCATCCTTGATTCCTTCCTCCCCTTCCCACCACACTCAACAATCCTGTTGATTGTCCTCATAACTAACTCGAGAGTCTCTTAATCCGTCACCTAGACTCATACAGTAGCCTTTTATCTTGTCTCCCTCGTAGTCTTGTTCCTTTCAATTCATATTCCATACTGCGTGTCAGAACAAACTTTCAAAAATTTGCTGCCAGTGGTGTCACTGCACACAATACCTTCCATTTATCTAGCCCTTGCCATCTTTCCACTCCATCTCTTGTTGCTTCCTACACACCCCATCCAAACTCCTGGAATGTTCCTACTTTCCTTTGCCTCCATACCTTTGTGCTTGTTTCTCTCTCTGGGATGTCACTGGAACACAAGTACAGAATGTCCAAAATAAGTTCCATATATGATGAATCTATAATCCAAGAAACTTTCTGGAAATAAGAAAATGTAAACCTACATAATGAAAGGGCCCACACATATTTGGGGAAATGACCACAGTATGATCAATTCTGACAGTTAGCCTCTTAAAAATATCAGACAAAAATAATAATCTTCAAAACTTCCATGCAAAAAGTTCAAACTGCTTAAAAGGGTAAGAAAATTAGGCTGCAATACATTAAAGATGGCTCCAAATTCTTTATCACTTCTCTTAATCCATGCTGGCCTGAGTGAATTACTTGACCAAGAGAATGTGAAATGTTATGGGACTTCCAAACCATGTCCTAAGAAGTCTTGAAGAGTCCAGCTGTGTCTTTAGGAACACTTGCTCTTGAAGCCCTGAGCCACTATGTGAAATATCAAGCTTCCTACGGAGAAGTTCTGAGCCTACACGGAAGAGAGGGGCCTACCTGATGCTAGCTGATAGGAGTGAAGTCATCATGAATGCCCTCTATCAGTCCAACCATCAGCTGAATACCACTGAGTGGCCCCAGCTGAAGTCATGTGGAGCAGAAGAATCATTCAGCCCAACCCCCACCCAAATTCCTGACTCCAAAGGTTATGAAATTATAATCAAAACATTAAGCCATCACTATTCAGGGTAGGTAGTTTGTTATGGTAACCACAACATTTGGCATCAAATTTCTCAAGAGCAAAGCAAAGCAACAGTGATGCAGCATTTTCAGCATTGTCTAAAAACTCAAGGCAAGAAGATGCAAGCTAAGACTTTTGTATCCATCCATCATGCTGTTTTTCAAGCATCAAAGGCTATAGGAAAAAAAAACAAACCTGTTTTTAAAATGTAAGAACTCAAAGAATACTATGCACATGAGCCCATCCTAACTACCTACCGTATTTGCCGGCGTATAAGACGATTTTTTGGCCCTGAAAAATATGCCTCCAAGTGGGGGGTCGTCTTATACGCCAGATACACTTCAGATAGACTGCCCATAGTGCTTGCCCCGTGCCATAGTGGCCTCCCGATGCCCGCCCACTTCATTCCACATACCATTCAGGCATCAGCAGCGCTGCTGGGTGTATGCTCGGCTGTTATGCGATTTTGCTGTTATGCGATTTTACCACACTCGCAAAATCGCACACAGCCGACCATACACCCAGTATGATAGCGCAAAATCGCGAATCGCGATACCATACTGGGTGTATGGTCGGAAGAGGGGGTAGTCTTATACGGCGAGTATATAACAAACTCTGTATTTTGAGTGGAAATGTTAGGGGGTCGTCTTATACGCCCAGTCGTCTTATACGCCGGCAAATACGGTACTAGAGCAAGAGTCAGCAATTTTTTTTCTAACGCAATAAATAGTAAAATTTTTTTTTTTAAGATTTTATTGGGGAATTGGGGAGGGAACAGTGTTGGAGAATCAGGGAAGGGAAACAGACAAGTTGCTGTCCTTTTGCTCCTCAGTCTAGTTGTGGTGCACGTCCCTTCACTGGCCCATGTTGGTATTATCATTACGCTTTTCCCAGCTGAGGCAGATCGGTTGCCGGCCACTGGACGGCAGTTCACAGTGGCTCACGCCAGCTGCGGGCTGCTCATGCTGGCTGTCAACCACTCATGGTAGCTTCCGGCACCCCACTGTAACACCACTGCAGCCTATGCCATCGCCAGCGACTCATGGCAGCCCAGCTCCAGGTCGAGCTATTGTTCATTATCTTAGCTGTAGAGGGCACAGCATCACTGGCCCATGTGGGATCTGATCTGCAGGCCTAACTATGCAAACTCTGCCATTGTTGCACAAAAGCAGTCACAGATGATATGCAAATAAATACCTGACTATGTCTCGAACTGGATTTACAGAAATAGGCAGCAGGCTAGATTTGTCACATGAGTTGCAGTTTGCCACCCCTATACTAGAAAAAAAGAAATAAAGTTATTTCCCTTCCTCTCTTTCTCTCTCTCTCTCTCTCTCTCTGTCTCTCTAAAACAAACAAACAAACAAACAAAAAAACACCACACAAGGTCCATATGATTTAAGAAAATAACATACCATGACCAAGTAGGGTTTATGTATTAGTCTGCTAAAATTACCATAGCAAAGTACCACAGACTGGCCTAGAGAATAGAAATTTATTTCCTCACAGTTCTGGAGGCTATAAGTCTAAGATCAAGGTGTCACCAGGGTTGGTTTCTTCTGAGTCCTCTCTCCTTGGCTTGTTGATGGCCTTCTCCTTCCCATGTCCTCACATGGTCTTCCCTTTGTACGTACTGTGAATGTCTGTGTGCTAATCTCCTTTTCTTATAAGGACACCAGTTATATTGGAGT